TTGCCATTTAATTTAATTATTTTATAAGGACCTTTCCAGATAGGGGATAAGGCTTTGCGAAGTCTATGGTGACATTTTAAATAAACCATATCACCTGTTTTGTAGGATATATTTTTACTATTTGTGTCATAATATTTTTTCGATGTTTCTTTACTTTTGATTATGTGTTCTAATGCCTTTTGTCGACTAAGATTCATGCGATATTGTAATGCGCGGATGTATTCATGATAAGTTGTATCGTTACTCGTATTATATAAAGAATTAGGTATTGTTGGTTTATGCCCATATAGTAATTCATAGGGTGTATATGTAGTAGTGGTATGAGGGGTAGTGTTGTAGGAAAATACTGCAGTGGCTAAATAACAATGCCAATCATTCTGGTTTTCGTTAACAAAAGATTTAAGATATTCCTTGAGTGTAGCATGGCTACGCTCTAAGGCACCATTTGTTTGTGGGTGATAGGTGGTAGCATGTAAGGGTTTTATTTTAAATATTTCAATTACCTGTTTAAATAATTCCGACGTGAAACATGTGCCGAGATCTGTTAATATCGTTTTGGAAATTCCGAACAGAGAAATAAAGTGAACTAATGTACGAGCTACTTCGTCACTGCTGGAAGTTATCATTGGATATACACATAAGAATTTGGTTAGGTCATCTTGTAGGGTTAATATGAATTTGTAGTTTTGCAAACCAGCTTCGGGTAGTGGACCGACTATATCTAGAGCTAATCTTTCGAATGGTTCCGTGCTTGTAGAAGTTATCACCATTGGAGCCTTATTACATGTTCTTAGTGGTTTATTTACTTGGCACAACTTACAGTTTTTAACATAATTTTCTATGTCGGAGCGCATGTTTTTCCAAAAATATAGATCTTTTAAGCGGTTTAACATCCTTTTAATTCCGGGGTGACCAGCAATTGTTGAGTCGTGATTTTCTTTGAGAATTCGAGGAATTTCGGCAGGAGTAGGGTAAATAATTTGATTTCGGTATATATGAATTTTAATATTAGTATTGTGAAATATGTAGGCAATTATATTGTATATTTTTGTATAGGATAGTTTAGAGAATAGGTCAGCAAAATCAGAAATGGCTAAGTTAGTGATTTGGCTATTTCTTGTTATAATATTGTCGCGTAGTTGCATTAATAAATTGTAAATATTTCGGTATGTTAACTCTTCGTAATGGTGGATTTTTGTATACAAGAAATAAAACGTTTTATTATTCTCCTTAATATAAGAGATAGTGTAAGGTTCTCGTTCTGAGTTTATTAAACTTTCAGAGTTTTGCAACTGGGATAGAATATTTTTACAATATGGGATAGATTCATCAAAGTCGAGGGATACGGGGCAAACAATATTATTTAATTTAGAAATGTGTAATGCTTCTTGATGTTCTTCGATTATAGTATTTGTGGAAATGGAACTAGTAAATTGCTTTTTAAAATATGATTCATATTTGAGTTTATTAAGGACTACATTCGAATTTAAGGCGTGAATGGGTATGCGGGAAAGAGCATCGGCGTTTGAATTTTGTTTTCCTTGTTTATATACAATTTCATAATCATATTCCTCTAACTTGAGGCTCCAACGAATTGATCTACTTCCTGGATCCTTGACATTAAAAAGCCAGACCAAAGGTCTGTGTTCAGTGACTATTTTAAATTTGTTACCATAAATATAGGGACGAAATGTTTTTACAGCGAAGAGGATAGCTAAAAGTTCTTTTTCCGTTGTTGAATAGTTGCCTTCTTGTTTATTTAATGTTCTTGAGGCATACGCGATCGGTTTGTCTTTTCCGATAGGACCTTGCGATAATACTGCGCCAACGGCATAATTACTGGCGTCTGTGGTGACAATAAACGGTTACGAAAAATCGGGATATTAAAGTAAAGGAGCTGAAGTTAATTTTTCCTTTAACAAATTGAAAGCTTGGGTTTGTTCTTGTGTCCAATTAAAATAAACATCCCTTTTTAATAATGACGTAAGGGGTTTTGTTATTTTTGATAAGTTATCTATAAATCGACGGTAGTAACCTACAAGACCTAGAAATGATTTAATTTCCTTGGGATTTTTGGGAATAGGATAATTGGATACTGATTTTACCTTGTCAGGGTTAGGTGAGACACCTTTGTCAGTAATTACATGACCTAAATAAGTGACTTCGCGTCGAAAGAACTCGCATTTATCTGGTTGTAGTTTCAAATTGAAATCTCGAAACCTATCAAAAACAAGACGTAATTTTTCCATATGACTTTGAAGATCGTGGCTATAAATAATACAGTCATCTAAGTAGACGAAACAGTGGAGACCTTGGAGACCAGAAAGGACGGTGTTCATGAGACGTTGAAACGTACTAGGAGCACCTTTTAATCCAAAGGGCATGCGATTAAATTGAAAATGACCGGAAATGCCATTTGTGTTGATTACTATAAAACCAGTCTTTTCAGCATCGTTAGGATTGAGAGGAATTTGATGGAAGCCGGAAACTAAATCAAGTGTCGAAAAATATTTAGAATGTCCTAATTGATCTAATATATCGCTAATTAATGGGATAGGATAAACTTCATTTATGGTCACATCATTAAGTCGCCTATAATCTACGACAATGCGCCACTTCTTTTTGCCAGATGCATCCATTTTCTTAGGCACGACCCACACTGGGGCGCTCCACGGAGATATTGACGGCTTAATTATATTTTGTTTTAACATTTTTTTTTTAATTGTAAATCTACTTCGTCTTTATGGCATTGAGGAAAGCGATATGACTTAACGTGAATAGGAGGGGTGTTCCCTGTATTTATCGAGTGTTGAATCGCGTTTGTACAGGTGAGGTCGTCTCCTTCGAGATAAAATATATCTGAGTATTGTGAACAACAGTCTAGTAAAAGTTTTTTCTCCTCAGAGTTTAAATGAGAGTGACGAATTTGTTCGCAGACGCGTTGAACACGATTAGAGTGGGTTGTCGAAATTATATTTATGTTATTACACAATTCAAAAGATTTGGAATATTCATTAAAATCGATCGGCATAATTTAACCTTGAAATTTTTTATTTTAATTTGCGATTCGGTTGTGTTTAAGACGGAAACGTTAACTATTTTTTTTTTGCTTTTAAAGTCACTAGGCAGTTCGCTAAATAAACACCATTACAAACGATTTGATCTAGTATGAGAGCATCCTTAAGGTGACGCAACTCGGACGGGTTATTTGATATGGAGCATTCGATAATAGTTTCGCTACGCGCCGGTATAATGTAAGTAGGTTCTGAGAAGTGGATAGGATAGGCACAGATATAGAATTTTTAAAACAAAGCGAATAAATATGATAATCTATATTTACTTTAAAATGACTGAGGAAATCGCTTCCTATAATTCCGTCGTAATCAATATTAATATCGTCTGATGTAACATGAAATTTGTAGTTTATGGAAAAATTATCTAAAATGAAATCTAACAGTAATGTTCCTAACGTTTCGTTACAAGATTGAGTGCTGTTTATACCCTTGAGTTTTATGATTTCATTGGAGAGCGTAAATTTTCCATTTAAACTCGATTTTTTTATAGTAGAAACACTTGCGCCTGTATCGAGTAGTAATCGTAAGGGTTGAACAGAAAGATTTGATCTAAAATAAACATGGGGTAGTGATGTTTTCTTACTTGATATATTCATAATATACGTTGGTATTTCACCTTTATTATTAGTTAAATCTTAGGTAGGGTTAGTATGACTCGAAATATCTTTTCGAGATGTAGGTTTTGTATAAGAAATAGCATCTATATTAGATATAGAATTGGTATAAGAATTAGTACAAGAATTAGTATTATAATTATTTCTAAGACTCTGATATTGATTCAGAGATGTCCTGGGATGATTTTCCCGAGGTAATAAATAATTAGTATTTTGACTTTGACCTTGTGTCAAAGATGGACTCGGGTATTGTTCCCCAGGTGTAGAGTTAGAATAAGAAATAGTATTTTTAAAATTACAAGATTTAGTAAGACTCGGCGGCATTTGATGTCGCTGAGGTGTATTATAAGAACACTTTTTATGATAACTATAATTAAATTCGTTATCATTATAGATAGGCTTAGTATAAGAGTTAGTAAAATTTGTGCCTTGGAATATTTTCGATTTCAGTAGGCACTTTTCCGAAATCAGAGTTAGTTTAAATCTTCGTTACAAATATCGGCACTAGAGGTAGATGGTTGTGCGTTACATAAATGCATATTATTTCTATTAGGTGTGTGTGCACTGGGACTTGGTAACGCAGTCGTCGGGCGAGTATCCGGTTGCATATTACGACGAATGCTATTGTTATATTGTCGCTTGCGACATTCATTTATCATATGTTCCGGATTTTTACAATAGCTACATATTTTAATAAAGTTTTTATTTGAGATGTTATGAGAATTAGGATAGTTATTATTTTGCGGATTAACATAATAAGCTCGATGAGATTGTTTTTTCTTATTATTATAGCAGCTGGAAGAATCATGACCGGATTTTTGACATATAGAACATTGTTTATAAATGATTTGGAAGAAATTTTGCTTAGAATATATAATTTTTCTTCTTCTATGGCATGCGTAATCGCCTCGCTTAAGTTTTTCGGATTTTGGCATCTAACAATATATCCATAATTAGAATTTAAACCTAATATAAAAGTGTTGAGGGCTAAATCCTCCATAGCGGCAATTCTTCCTACTAGCTCGGACTTATTCTCACAACTATAATGTATATCAGATTGTAATCGCGTTAAACAAGATTCAATTCTAAGCGAGTATTGCATTACGGTTTCTGAGTTTCCCTGTCTACAGTTTTGGAGTTCTATTAAAAGGTGTGTGGAGTGTTTCTTTTCGCCAAAGGTAGTTTTTAGGAATATTTTTAATTAATCCCAACTATTAAAAGTTTTTAATGAGCACGCGATTTGGGCTTTTCCCTCTAACTGGGATATGATATAACGATACAAAACTGATTGCTGTTCCGAATTCGCGAGTGATATGGCGTTATCACAATTTGTTAAGAATGCTAGAAGTGATTTTCTGTCGCCATTGTAAGGTTTAATAAATTTTGTAAGGACCGATAAGGGAATTTTGTCAGACATTTCTAGTTCTTCTGGTTTTTCCTTTAAAGTTTTAGTCTTATGCATGTGGAATAAGAAAAATAGTTAAGGAGTTAGGAAATACAAAATTGGTGAAATAAGGATATGGTATATACAATTAATGACAAAATGTAAAGAATTAGAACAAAGTAGTATAAAATTATCGCTAAATTAAGGTTAACTTACAATATCACGAACACTACGGCGAACATGGGTTGCTATGCGGGTGTCGTGTTGCGATGACGTGCAGCGGAGTCGAGTTGCCGTGAGACCCAGGGAGTCGTTTGACGGCAGCGTCCACGTGGTTGTGCGGTGGGAGTGCAGCAGCTCAGGGCAGGCTCACACGCGTGGGGTGAAGACTGACAGCCTTGATGAACTTCGGGTTGATGACGATGGAGATGCCTCAAGCTCGTGGGGCTGAGACCTTGTTGGTGTTTCGGATTATACAGGCTCACACGCGTGGGGTGGAGACTTACTGTCGATCTTGCTTCAGAGTTTCCCAGGATTCGGATGCCACGCTACCGATATACGAGTAGACCGTGTGACAATCCCACTTCTGACACCAAATTTGTTAGGAGGGCCGCTCTGAAGGTGTTTTTAAAAAAAAACTTTTACACCCAATCCCGGAAGTTCTTTTGGTTTATTTTCCCAATATTAAAATAATACAAAAAATGTACTAAAGCCGCGAACGGCGTGTGCGATATGCACTTAATATGGGTTGGAGCTGCACTGCCTCGATTACCTCAAACACTACGCTTATATACGAAATAAAATAATCGGGTCAGCGCTTTTAACTAAATAGGGTTTGACATAACACCTCGTACCCCGAGGTCGAAGTGTAGGGCGGCTTTCTACTAGGTCGACGTCTGACGTCCTGGTAAGATAAACAGGAAGTTGATGGAGGCAGGTGGCTCAGAACCGTGCTTTTTGGTATTCCTTTGAGGAGCCCTAATCCCTATTCGAAAAAGCATATTCAGCGGTGGACTCGTATAGAGCTGTATTGATAATGATGACGATGAAAACAAATTTGTAGTAACCAGTGTGTAAATATAACTGGTAATAATAATAATATTAGAGTTTTATGATTTTATTTAAATATTTATTGCTTTGACCGCCATAATTTTAATCGTTATAAAACAACTTAATACTATGAAGAACATTAAAAACTGATTAAATGAAAAAGGTGTTCTAATAGGTAGCTGATCATTTCACTCTTATTCATAGTAGTGTGTAGTGTTATGCTACTTACATATCATTTTACATTATTTTAAATTCATTTTTCCATTCTGTTTCGATTTTCTGCATTCACCTCAAAACTGGATATTTTACATCACCTTTATTTCCATAGGATCCTGTAACGATTTTAAACCATAAGAACACAATAACAAATCATTTCTACTTCGTATTTTCACATCATCAGCACTTTTAAATTGGTGTCAATGGAGTCTACCTTTTTTCGATCTTTTAGCTAGTTTTCCGTAACTCTACAATCTTGGGCTTTGTGTGGGCAGCTGCGCTACCTTTTTTCCTATATCAATAATATCTCATTTTCCACTTGAATCTTACCGTTTTCTTATTATAAACCTAAAACCAAAATTTGACATGTTTTGGTATTGTTATTTATTTCGTTTCCATAGCAATTATATTCAAATTTGCTACCGGTCTGTTGTTTCTATCTCGATAATTCCACATAAAGACTCTTTTCTCTTGACCATTTACAAAAAATTTGCGTTTAATTTAAATAATTTTTCCGTTCTCTCTAGAAAGGTATAAAAGCCGAACAATCGGTGAAGAAAGGCAGTCTCGCTTCAGTTCGCGAATTTGAAGTATCTCCTAAAGGCCTTATCCCGGGGCCGCACTGCCCCGGGATCCTGCAAGCCTCCACCTACACGTGAAGTCTTCGGCGAAGCCTTCTCCAAACGCGGAGCCGCACCACTCCGGATTCCTACAAGCTTCCATCTACCTCGGAAGTCGCTTCGAGACTACTACAAGCGCGGGGGCTACACTACTCCGGGCGCTACGACTACTTACTCCAGGCGCCGAGTGCACCTACCGCCGGCGCTACCTTTGGGCGCTGCAACTGCTGGCTCTAAGCGTTGAGCGCACCTATTCCAGGCGCTACGTGCGCCGGCTCCAGACGCTGCGTGTGCTGTCTCCAGGCGTTGCGTGCCGTCGCTACTAAGAAACTTACCTCTACAAGCGCAACCGGCGTGTGCTGGCTTCAGGCGCTGCGTGTCGTCGCTGCTAAGAAACCTACCTCTACAATCGCAACGTGTGTCGCTTCGACTTTTAGGCCCCACTACATCTCTTTATTCCCCTATTCTCCTACCTCTATATTTTTTTTTGTAATCTAATTGTACTCTCACTTCATTCATCATCATCCTCATTTCATTTTTTTATAAAATTGTAAATATCTTTGAATTTTGAATATATTTCTGTTTTTGTTGTATTTTTGTTGTTTTGTTGTTCTTAGGTTAGATTCTTTTTGATATATTATTGTCGCTTCACGACATTTGGCGCCCAACGTAAAAGTCCTC